AGATAGATAGATCTATCTATCTAGCATAGAGCATAGATAGATAGATAGATAGATAGATAGATAGATAGATAGATAGATAGATAGATAGATAGATAGATATATAGGTTAGTGACTTGCGGTGAGGTTCATACCTGGTGAGGCACCGACTTAATTATAATCGGATTTACAAATCTAGACCCCCTGCATGTTATTGTTTACTTGAGGAAATTTTGCTCATGCGTACAATGCTGGAGGGCAAAAAGACTATTCTTTAACATGTGATGCTTAGCCGCCGCCGCAGAATAATTCCGTTATCTCAATCAAACTTAGACATGTAGATATTATTAATTTCGTGCTGTGCTTAACAGCAAAGGGAGAAACTGGTAAAGTACAACTCGAAATCACGTCTTTCTCGCTCTCTGCATCAGCGCAGCTACTGTGTGGCTAGCTCGCTGTTACCGTCTCTTACTCTGCAGTTGTGGAGTCACAATGTCTGGGTTCATGAGCGCCCCCTGCCATAAGGCAGGAGAACTGCTTGCCTCACCTCGAATCTGTTCTCTGCCGTTTATGATCGCTCCTCAGCACACGAAACACGTTACACACACAGTTAGTGACAATAAAAACACAGTACATTAAGTACATAAGCTAAATTATGGAAAATCAGTTCATACATTAAATGTTTTAACCATTTTATTGGCGACGTACAGGCAGGATGAACATGCTCTCATAGAATGGCAACCGGTGCAGTTAGCGAGAGGTTGCGCAATCCCAGGTGAGGCTCGGCTCACTGCTGCCTCACCGGCTTCGCTTCCAAGCATTTGAATGAGAAAATGCGAAAATTCAGCGATTTTGGAGGAAAAAAACTCATCAGATTTGGTTAAATTAAATGAAAAATAGGTACTTTATAGTACAAACCACAGGGGGAAAATATCTTTATAAATGGTTTTAGTATTATATATTATTTTTCCATGATGACCTCACCTGCCTCCCCTGACCGCACGTCACTGACACTCACCCATAGAATCTGAAAAAACGACGCAATATTTAGCGGTTAATTCAACCCTACGACAGTCATGGACAACAATGTTCACGGGTTTCAGATTTAACAGGTGAGGAAAAAGTTTTAATTTAAAGAAAACACTGAGAAAGTGAGCAGTGAGTCAGTTATACTAGCCTAACTGTTTGTTAGCCTGCTATTGACTTTGATAACATTAACATGTGCTGCGCAGTTCGGTGTGTTTTGGTTCCGTTAGCACTAACAACCCGCTGTTTAAATCAGTTAATCAACCACCGCGGTGTTCAGGCGAAAACTTATTAATAATCACAATATAGACATCAAGCCTGACAACATAATGTAACAGTCTGGATGTTCTGTTTTGGTGCTTTTGCTACTTTTTTGTGTGGGAAATGTTTGATTTTGGTGTTGATTCATCAGATCGGTAATCTCCGCTCTATCTGCTCTTTGAGCTGTTGTCTGTCCGTTTCCATGGCAACGGGTCCGCGTGTTGGGTCAAGCACAGAGCAAGAAAAAGCAGAATACAGCATTAGTGGTTTTATCTAACTTTGTTCTTCACCGCAGCCGCTGCAATTCCTATAAATTAAACTAGCGACAAAAACTGAACCAATTCCCTCTGTTCGTAAAACGTGGCGATATTTATAACAGTCACCAAACTACGGCTCCTGCAGCATATTTAGAATAAAACGATTTATCAATATAAGAGAAATTTGCCATTTCTTGCAACTTGACAGAACTAACAGAAACCAAACTGTTTATAGGTTTGTTTCAGGGAGAATTTATGCCGCAAACATCAATTTTCTCAGCTTTGTTTTAATAGATATCTGATAATAAATGATGGCGCTACTAATATTTTTGCGACAGATTTCTGCTCGTCCTGCATTGCAGTAGAATGGTTTTCTGGACATAACTCAGAGCATCACATGGCGACTAATAGGCACCATAATTAACTATACTACATTAATAAATGATATTTAATCCTCAGTGTGACATGAAGCTCATTTTGAAACAATGCAAGTTTAAAATATTTTTGCAACAAGTAAATCATCAAGTAAATTAAGTCCAATGTTTATATATATATATATATATATATATATATATATGCGCTGCCACCCCTGAAAAAATCATTACCCCCCTCTTGCCACCCCATAGATATTTTTCTAGATCCGCCCCTGCCTGAGACCGACTCATCGAACCCAGGTTAAGAACCACTGGTCTATAATCAGGTCGTCTGCAGGTCATTTAGCACCACGTTCTCCACCAACATGCTGTGCGCAAACGGAGAAGGGTGACCATCGTCCGGCCACGCCCCGGCCCAGTTGCGGAAGGCTCTCCTCGCTGACCGGAGTCAGACTGTTTTGTTGATATTCACTTTAGCTCAGCTCCATCTAGTGGATGCATAACGTAACTCCAGCCTCTACTGTAGCGTCTCTTCTATGTGCCTTATAATGCGGTGCACCTTATATATGAAAAAAGTTTTAAAATAGGCCATTCATTGAAGGTGCGCCTTATAATCCGGTGAGCCTTATAGTGTGGAAAATACGGTAAATTAAAAGTATTTGAATTAACTGAAAGCCTGAATAACCTAAACCTGCATCGTCTGCATAATTATTCTCACTTGTGCGTCCTGCTGCACCAGGTCTGCGTCCACCACTCCCGATTCATCTCTGGTCCCCTGAAAACATGACATCAAATTAACTCACTGCTGATCATATGGGCTGTAAAGACATTAATGCAACGTCCGCGTCGGGTCTCTTTGCTCAACAAACCTGAAGCAGAACAACCAGCATCTTCTTAAAGTGACCCGACGTGTCCGCAATAACATCCTCCTCTATGTCCCTCCCATAGGCTTGAGATAATACAAAATGAAATACTGGCAAATGAAAAAAATAAATAAAATAATCTCTTAAAATCCAAATGTCCTTCACGTCTTACCGTCCTTGTAGGCCGCCACCATGTCTTGCATCTGTTTGTTATTTCTGGATACCAGGACTTCTATCAGGCATCTCTCGTTTGTTCCGGCTCCCTGAAGGAAAGCGCGAGGGTGAACGTGGAGCAAGAGCTCCTTCGAATAATTACCAGAAGGAGAGTAAATGGCATACTTTGACTGCATCATGGATTTCCTTAGCGTCATGGTACGGAGGGGTTCTCATCAGACACACGATGAGACGCTCAAATTTTCCAGTGAGCTCATATTTCAGATCTTCAATCAGATCCTGAGGAGACAAAAAGGATGTTGCAGGTTGAGAAAAGCGTTTGGGACTGGAACATAAAAGTCCTGTGTGAATCTTTTGTGCACCTGCCCAAAGCTGCATTTGTACGCTGAGATGACTTCTTGCCTCTGTGCGTTACTCCGAGATGTGATCAGGTCCAAGATCGTTTCCTTGTCACTGCCTGAAGAGCACAAAGCAGCTTTTTTTAGTTTACTCGCCGAGCTAGGACAGAGTAAAGATAACGTATATCATCCTGATCATGAGTTACAGAGGAATGAGGAACTCACCAATGCCTTTCATGGCATTGTACAGAGTCTCAGCATCAACGCTGGGATCAAAGTCCGGAGCATCAGATATTGTACCTCTGAACACCTGTTTGAAAAATAAAACAAAACCGAGATATTTTTATTGAAGTAAGAGAAAAAAAGAGTCACGTTAAGGATGCTGAACGTCTACGATGCATCATGTTATGTCATTGTGTGATCGCCCCATTTCTGTATACTTTATGTTAGTTTTTTTATTATTATTTTTGAGTTGAACGGTTTTTAACCGATACATATCATTGAGCTAAATCCCAGTGAGAGCTACAAGATGTATGAAAAACAACACCATTGAGAATTGGTTCTTCTTCCTTCTTCCACTGAAAAAAAGCCATTCCCACCACAGCATGATGTTTCATTATGGGCCTGGTGCCTTCACGGTAGCGTGCATTTCTAATTTTTACACCACATGTAGCACGTTGGATGTTGGCCAGAAAGATGAATTTTGGTCTCATCTGGTTGCAACATCTTCCACACGGCTTGTAGCAAACTGCAAATGGGACTTCTTCCACACTTCCATGGATGCCAAATTTGTGGAGCGCATTACAAATAGTTGTCATGCCGACATATTCTTCCACCTGAGCTGTCGATCTGTGGAGCCTCTCAGGAGTCAGCGGGATCCTCTTGGTTTTTCATACTCCATCTCTCTCCCATTGAATACTGAAGCCCTCCGCAACCCGGTAATGGTTAAGTTGGTATAGTCATGGATGAACTGAGCAATGCTCTGATAGAACCAAAATGAAATATTGTTTGATAATTTGCTTTAAGCCTCGTCTCTGACCTGCCTGATGTGTTCCTGTTTGTTCTCTATTTTTATCTAACAAACCTCTGAAGCTTTCACAGATCAGCTGCATTTACATTTAGATTAAATTAGAAACAAGTCAACGCACTTCTGAGTAAAGGGTCTTTATACACTGCTCAAAAAAATAAAGGGAACACTCAAATAACACATCCTAGATCTGAATGAATGAAATATTCTCATTGAATACTTTGTTCTGTACAAAGTTGAATGTGCTGACAACAAAATCACACAAAAATCATCAATGGAAATCAAATTTATTAACCAATGGAGGCCTGGATTTGGAGCCACACACAAAATTAAAGTGAAATGTTCCCTTTATTTTTTTGAGCAGTATATTAATGCACAACCCAATTTTCTGATACAAATGTACTTTAAATAGTATTGTCAAAACTTTAACCCTTTTCATCTGACTTCACAACTGTGCACTTGTTTGTGGACCTCATAAAATCCCAAATTCAATTTACTGAAGTTGTGGTTAACCCTTGACAAACTATGGAAAAGGTCAAGGAAAATGAAAACTTTTCAAGGCTCTACCGACATACAGTGATGTCAAGAAAGTATGCCCCTTTACATTTTTTTAGAATTTTAAATTACACAAAAAATATAATATGTGAATCTTAGAATGATAAACTCAGAGTGACTAGACACCAGTACAAAACTACAACAATTAGCCACTCAGACCTCAGCTTGAGGAGAAATAAATCCTGTGTTTAGCAGGAGCCACCCAGTCATGTGCAAAGCAATGCTAAAGTATGTGTCTACATGCAGCAGGTGTCAGGTTTCGCACAGACCACCTGTCTTTACAAGGGTCTGAAATACAATACAACGACGGACACACCTACTGTACATCTAACTCTGCTCCCTCTTGACCCGGAGCCCTTCACATTGTCCACAGATGGCTGTGAGAAAATAGGTTGATTTACTCCAAGTTCTTACTGCAGCTGCAGTTGAGGAGATTGCTGCAGCATTACGACATGCAGCGAGAATGTACTCCCCTCTGCCGCCTGCACATGCTCAAATGCTGTGCAACCATCGCTCTGCGCGACAGCTGAACAGCTTCAACCACATAGCAACAAGGTCCCAAATATCTGGCCTTAGCAACAAGCTTTTATCTAAACAATTATATTAATGAGAGCAAATGTGGATTGAATGCTGTCTTCTCGCTCCTAGTGTAGCTTGTTTTTTTTTTTTTTTTTAATTATTATTTCTTCTGAAATGACCAAAATTCTGCAGATTTTGAAAGTTTGCGCACCATCAGAAAAGTCAGAGCACCGACTTTGGAATCGTCTCGTCTGCTGTGTCTGAGATGCGGGACGAGGTGGCAGTGACACCCTACACTGCCGGCTTTATGATGGGGAGGGCTCATACGGTGCCAGGTGACAGTGGCCGTCCTCACTTCATTCAGTGGTACACAAAAACCGAGCATGTCAAGCAGACACAAAGATCTCCTCCACAGTTTCATGTGGAATTGATAATGGCAATATCAATCACAAAACTTGAAGCGTTTCATTGGTATTTTTATGAGATAGATCAGCGTAAAGCAGGACACAGCTGTGACCCGTAAAGAAAATGTTAGCAACATTTGTATTCAGCCTCCTTTACTAAGATAGAAGCAGCCAACTCTGAAGGAGTTGCGGAGATCCACAGCTGAGGTGAGAGAATCTGTCAGCAGTAGAGCTTTTAATCGTGCACCCCAATCAGCCCTAATGGCAATGAAAAGTCCTATCTGAAGTTTGCAAGAAGGGTAAAACTGCTCCAGTCAGACGAGACCAAAACTTTCTGGCTTACTTGACAGACGTTGTATGTGAGGGGAAAACTAGATCTCAACATCACCCTGAACACATCATCCCCGTAGTGAGTGCTGTGGAGACGAGAGTTTCATCACTGGAGCAGCAAAGAAGGTCAGAGCAAGGAGAGAATTACTAGAGGACTATACTACTAGAGGAAAGTCTGTCACAGGCAGCAAATGACTTGACGCTGTCGCAGAGACTCCAAACGACTCTGAACATACAACCGAAAGCAACAATCGAACAATTAAATCAATGTACGTTCAACTATTAAAATGGCCCAGTCAACGTCCACACTTGAAGCCAAGTGAAATCATTTTTGAAATGGTTGTTCACAGGCTCCCTCATTCCAGTGTGACTAAGTTGTAGTGATTTGGTCCTCACAAAAATCAGTGTCTCGATGTGCAAATCTGGCAGAGACCTACAAATGCACATCGCAGTTGTCAGTGAACGCCACATAAATTCGTACAAGGTGTGATGAGAACAGTTTTGTCTACTCACCATGTCTGTATTTGGTCTCCTGTCTCGCTGCTGCTCAAAAATGTTTTTCTAGAGAGAGGGAGAGAGAGAGGAAGAGAGAGAGGAAATAATGCTGACTTAAAAGCACCATCAGTGTCATTTTGAATTGGACAGTAGCCCTTGAATATGCAAGTCATTATGATGCAAAGACATATCAAAACGTCCCTTTTAGTGTCAGGCCTGTTTTGCACTTCTTGTATTTACATCCAGGATCAAAAGATGAACAGGTAAAGAAGTGTCTGCAGCTGAACTGATTCACTGCCTGAGAACTACATTAAATAAACCTGCAGGGAAAATGACTTGCCACACTCTGCACTCTGCCATGCATCAACTTTCAAAAGGATCCGTTCAAAAATGTCATGGAGACTAAAGTTTCAACGTTCTTAATGCAAATGACAGAAACTAATGAGTTTGTATGTAAGCAAAATACAATGCAAACAGTATGCCTGACATGAACTAAAATTGTTTGTAAATAAAAGAAATGAAACACACTCTCCTGGTTTTAAATGCTCAGTGTTTGCGGCAGGACAGCTGTGGCGCTTTCCCAAAAATAGCAGGAGGCGTTTAACTTAATATCACAATCAGTGTCTGAAGGGGGACTGGGGCTCTATAAATAAAGGGCCACACCCTTCTCTGTACCTCACACAGCAGAAAAAAAAAACCTTCAGCTGTCTGGTTTGGTGAAATAATTTAAACTTTTCCATTTTACTTATTTAGTTTTCTTTATATCCAATTCTCTAGAAGTGCCTTCATCTTTGCAGCAAGGCTCTCTCTCTCTCTCTCTCTCTCTCTCTCTCTCTCTCTCACGTACACACGCACGCATATATGCACAAATTAAGCATCAGCAAACTTCTCCTGTGAATTCTGACGCAGCAAACCTCGCGTTAAACCAAGCTGGCAGAGATCTGACGCAATATAAAGGCTCCAAGTAGGACACAAGGGGCTTACCTTGGCTGTGCAGGAGTAGTCGGTGCTGGAGTACGGTGGTCCTGCTGCCTCCTATAGCAAAGAGCCGCTGTGTCTCCCGCCCCTCCTCTGCGGCCAGGCCTGTCAGATTCGGGCATGCCCCGTTACGTGTCCTCTGACGCAGCGACTGCGGCGCACTCCATGCGCTGCAAGTAAACCGTGCAGTTTTGTGCATAATAGCGCAACTTTGTTTGTCAATGCAATTACTTGACAACAACCAAACAGAAACCAAACTGATTAGTTGTGCACATTTTTTTTTTAAATTAATTATTTTTATTTTATTTTATTTTTTGTGATTTTACGCACGCATCCAGATGAATGGAAAGTGAGTCTCGTCCACGGTTTCTTTTATGACTTAAAGAGGCCGGACAAGTGCTTAAAAAAAAAAAAAAAAAAAAAAAAAAACCCGCAAGACTGACACGTTTCCACGGCGACTTTGATGGTTTGAAGTTTGCGTGGGAGCTTTGCAGTTTGGTTATCACACGGTGCAGCTGTAAGAGCTGGCCTGCTCTATTTCTGTCGCGTCAGGAGTCCATTCCAGTAAGCGGGGGAGAGACGCCAGCAGAGCTGAAGGGGGGGTTGGGCAAAAGAGAACCACAGACAATGTCCGGACACTTTAGTGTCCAAAATGTAACCAGATTTGGTTCTTCCCTAAAATCCGAAAACACACCAAACCATTTTATATACGGTGTTAGTAATATTTTTGTGATTTAGTTGAATCCCTCTTGTGTGTGTGTGTGTGTGTGTGTCCTGAACTTACATCATGCAGACTTTAACTTCACTCAGAAGAGATGATGTGAAACAAGAGGTGACTCAAAATGGCATCAGCATGAATCAGTTGGTTTTATTCTGCTGCTGCTGCTGCTGCTAAAAGTAAATGTGATCTTTATCTAACCACTATTATAGTGTACCTGTAAGCTACTCAACACTGGTGGAAAAGAGAAGCATACTACCTTCTCCTCCTCGTTTTTAATATGTGGCTGTGTCTGCCTGTCTGCCTGGGACAAAGTAGCGAAAATGAAAGCAGAGACCAGGCTGGTTTGACAAATCAGGTGCTTTCCTCTCAACTGGTACACTTTAGCTGTTTTCAATCACACCCTTTCAAACTGTGTCTCTTTCTCAAGTCAAGGGACAATTAGGTTGCTCTGAAAGTGCACAGAGGAAGACTTCATTTGTACTTTAGATCATTTATCAAGTGATTGCTTTGCACTTTGCTTGAGTAATTCATATGTGAAGCTTCTGTTCCTCAGAGAGGTTAGTGATTTCGAGATTATAAGTGATGATCTTAGTGTCAGTTAACCATCAACCTCTGACAAATGTCAATGATTATTACTTAGCAAACAGTGCTGAGAAATGAATCAGCAACAAATCTTATGAATAAAGAATAAATCAAACATTTCTGTGGCAAGCTCGTATTCAGAACCGCTTCAGTGGATGTTTGTCTACACAACCGACTGAGGGTTGGTAAATTTGATGTAGTCACTAATTAATTTATACATCTGCTACTTTCTGCCTCCTTGAAGCATAATAAACAGGAAACAGTCATTAGCTAAATTTCTGCTCTGAGTATTTTTGCACAAAACCGCAGTTGATGTACTCGACAGCTATTCTACTACCAAGCCTCTCCAGATTCAGTGAAAGGTGGACTAAAGGTAGACTCACATGTTTGTTTATATTGGAATTGGACACACCTTCAAGACCTACATCAGTTTCAGCCATTAGTAAAGAAACATTTCTCATAGAAAACAAACTTGAGCAAAATTTACAGGAAACAGAATCACTAATAAAAGTGGCCCCAAAATTGATCCAGGCGGAGCTCCGCATTCTCACGTAGCGCCAGCAGATGTCAGTGCAGAGACCTCAAGTCATTTGTCAATAATGGAGGAGATAAAGTCATTTGTTATTTATTTATTGCAATTCTTAACCTTACCATTTATCGGGTATTTACACTTTTATCAGCCAACTGAAGCACAACCATTTTGTTCACTTTCCTTTTGACTTTGCATTGACGTTCATATGACGTCTTCCATTTTTACCCTCCACAATTACTCAGTTTTTAAACAAATTAATCTATTCTCTTTTCACTTTGTCTTTGAACAGCCACTTTCATCCTAGTGACTCATTTACTTCACATTCTGATTAGATCACTGAACCTACAGTGGTTTACAAACATTTTCTGTGAGTCCCCTCTAATGCTGCAGCAGACATGTGGTTTCGGTACAGCGACGATTAATATCACAACACAGCATAGGTGTATTAAGAATGATTTTTTTTTTTTTTTAAAAAGAGTAAAAATATATTTTTTCGGCTTAATTCTTTTCTTACTGTAAATCGGCAAAGTCAAAAGCTTTAAACAGGAGCTGAGCGTGAAAGTGAAAACAAATAATGTCTTCACAATATTTACTGGGTGTAATAAGATTGGCCCCTTATTGCTATTGACAGCTCAAGTGGGCGTTAAATATCCAGCATTATCAGGGAATTAACAGAAATGTATGTAGCCAGTGAACATGAATCATTATTCAATCTATTTCCCCGGCCTTGTAGACTTGAAATGTAAATGTGGGGTCAGAAGTCAATGAAATAAAAAACAAAAAATGAAATGCACTCCCGATTCATGTGTCTGATTTATATCTCCTATCCCTTCTAGCAGTGCTAAAATCAACCATGTTTGGGAAAAGCTGACTGAGACAGGAGCTCTGGTGATGAAAAGCTTTAGTTGTATACTGACCTCTTCTGCTTTCAACATGCACTGCACTTTTGAAGCAGGGGAGCAAGAGCTCACTTCAGCCAGATGTGAAAAATGTTAAGAGTAATTTAATGACGCTCTGAAATCGTATTTGTAATTCAGATTAAAGACAAGCAGATTTCTTGAGTAACCGTAAAAGTTTCATTTCGGCCTAGTACCCTTTTTTTTTTGTTTGTTTGTTTGTTTTTTTTTGCTTTGTTGCACATGTTTAAGCTTTGATTTCATATTATAATAAACACTGAGAGCGAGCAGTTAATGGAGATTAAATCCCCGATGTTTGGCGAAAGTCCTCGCTCCAGTACAAATGAACACCTTCTTAAAGAAAACCCATGAAAACACACCAGATGAATACATGGACACTCGATCATTAGGGGTTATTCTGATAAGTATTTACAGTCTACAGTTCTCAGTCGGCCTCCGTGCAATAATGAGCACATTATGACCCAAACTGGTCGGGAGTGAGAAAGGCTACTTTGTGAGTAACTCCATTGAGTAGGAGGGTCATGCAGGCCAGTCCTGTATATATGGCAGCAATGTTTCCCTCACCCGAGTCACCAGCACGGATATTTGTGTTGTCTTTGTCGCGCCAGCACAGACCACTGGTTGGCCCCTCGTAGGACCGGAGATAAAGGTAAACAGCTTGCGTGTCTGCAAAAGAAAATCAGATTTAAAACCTCGGCATCAACATGAATGAGCGTGTCCTACTGACGAACCGTCTCTGATAAGATTTGCTTTTAACGCATAAGAAGGAGCCATAAATTTTGCATTAGTGAACATTAGCTGAGGATCAACAGGGTCGTGATTAGCCGCGTGATCATAAAGCTGCAGATCACGTGTGTGGACGCTGTTATTTAGTTAAGCATTACCCCTTGTCTCTCTGGAAATGGTATCTCAGCTGGAGAGAGCCGGCCCGAGCGCGGATTCGGTCACAGGTACTTTGACCGTCCGTGCCGGCCGCCTTCCTGCTCGCCCGCTTTCTGCGTGTTGAAGTGAATGCCAGGAGGGATTAGGTGATCTCAAATCCCATGATGGGAGATGAGAAGGTAAATGCTACCTCTCAGAGAGCAGCTCCGTGGCCCGCCGCATACATGAGCCATGAAAGCTGCTTTGTCCTCCACTAAAAGAAAAGAAAAAACAAAAAAACTTTGAGGGGCTGAAAGCCTGGTACGCTCAGTTTCTTTAGGTTGCTGATGAAAGTCCGGATCTTGAGAGGCAGGGAGCAAACAACATGTTCAGGAGATACGATGCAGGTCTTGCAAACCTAATCAAAGACAGGCAAATGCTGGGAATCTGCCGTCCCCTTTGCAGGTTTCTTGTTCTTTTCCAAGGAGACAAAGTCTTACAGATATGTGGACCTTGAAGTATCGAATTATCTGGAAGGCAATATCATCAGAAGTTTATCAAAGTTACGAATCTCAACAACAGCACAACTGCTAATATCCACCAGGAAATGGGGGGAAAGTGTCACCCGTTTCTGCTTCTCTTCCTACGAGTAAAGTCGTTATTCTCTGTCCTTAAGCTCTGATTCTGACATATTCCTGATCTAACATGTTTATCAGATTTCTGCTTACTTTTCAAACACTTTAACACTCAAGTTATTTTTTTTTACTCCAAGACTAACAAAAATTAAATGAAAAGGCATGCATTCAACCTCTTTTGACCTCTGTTTGCCTTTGATTCCTTGTTTTTTTTCTCATTTGTTTTCAGAATTGACTGATTAGGACCTGAAACGGGGACCTGAACAGCTACACTCTCTCTGACGTGATAACTGCCTGAGTGGACTGAGACCACTTTGTAAGACCACTGCATTTTATTTATTTATTTATTTTTAGAAAAGCTACTCAACGAAGTAAAGCACATATAATCAATGACTGATAAAAGGGCAATCGGTAATCAGGGCGTAGTTTTCTGTCCTGTGGACTGCAAAGGAAATTCCAGGCATCAGCACTATCATATCTTGGGGAGATAAAGGAGGTCACATATAAAATAAATATATAGTTTTAAGGGGATGACGGATCCTCTCAACACACCTGTGAGGCAGAGACCTACAAAGACGTGAGTGTTCAGTTTTCTACGTCTCACTCTCTGACGTGTTCTGTTGTGGAGTTCTCGGGAAACTGGACTTTTTACTTGCTCTTTTTCTGTAGATTCATCCCACATTTTTCCAGTGAAAAAGGAACACCATACTCTGAAACCAGTGATGTTTCTTGATAGGGAGAGCTGACCTGGCAATCATTTACTGACACATCCCCTGGTCTGCCCTTCCTGTCCTTCTCCTCTCCCCTCGATCTTTCACAAATTTGCTCTGCCCGTCTCCACAACATCAACCTGCTCTCTCCCGCCTGTGGGCTCTTGCATAATCCCCTCACTCTTCTGATCCGAACCCCAGGCAGAAGCATGCCGTGTGGTGCGGTCAAGTCCTTTCTGGTGAGTCTTTCTCGCAGGAAGCCCATCGAGCCCGATGGGGAAGAGTCCACCTTTAACCGATGCCTGACCACCCTGGACCTGATCGCCCTGGGCGTGGGCAGCACCCTGGGAGCCGGTGTCTATGTGCTCTCCGGAGAGGTGGCCAGAGACACCGCAGGACCCAGCATTGTCATCTCCTTCTTCATCGCTGCCTTGGCGTCTATATTTGCCGGACTTTGCTACGCGGAGTTTGGATCCAGGGTCCCCAAAACGGGCTCGGCTTACCTTTACAGCTATGTGACGGTTGGTGAGCTGCTGGCTTTTATCACCGGCTGGAATCTGCTGCTCTCCTATGTCATAGGCAAGTATCACATTCTTTACTGAAAGGTTAGTTTTTTTTTAAAGTAAAAATAACTTTATAAAAGTTAATTTAGAAGATCAAATGTTCTTTTTATATTCATTTGTCCAAAATTAATGTTGGTTCATCTTTTTACCTGTGCTGGTAGGATATATTTATGTTATTTGCTGACTCTTCACCTGTTAATTTCCATCAATGCTTAGCCTTTTAATTTCAAAAACAGATTATCATCATTTTGACGTACTCTCTAAGGACGCTTAAATGAACCTATAAAAGATAAAGGAAGGTTCTCTGTGATGTTTTTCTTCGATCTTTTACTCCTGGAAAGCAAATTCTCATAAGCTTATCTTGCAGGAAAATATATATATTTATTTTTCCCCACTTGATTAAGCAGAAGTGCTTTAATGATCACCGCAAAAAGGAAATGTTTCCATTCAAATTTTCTGTTTATGACAGCACTAAAATGGTGACTAAGAATTACAATTTTATGGCCCTCTTTTCTGCTCAGGAACATCAAGCGTTGCTCTGGCGTGGAGCGGGACGTTCGATGACCTGATTGGGGGGGTCATATCCAGGTACTTCGAGAAAAATGCAGCCATGGACCTTCCTGGACTGGCGCCTTACCCAGATGTCTTTGCAGCTGGACTCATCTTGCTGCTCTCGGGTACAAATTGATGCGTCCTCGATTAACGCAAGAAAGCTGCACGTCAGTTTGAGCGCATCAAAAAATAAAATCTGCTTTACGTGAAGGCATACTGGCGTTTGGGGTGAAAGAGTCAACGACCATCAACAAGATCTTCACGGCGATCAACATCTTAGTGCTGCTGTTTGTGATCATCTCTGGCTTTATCAAAGGGAACCTCGCCAACTGGCAGATCAGCAAAGAGGATCTGATAAACGCCACAGCACAGTTCAAGTAAGAGCGAAACCCAACTTGTGTTTTATTTTTTTTATTTTTTTACTGACTAAATCCTGGGTCAGTTGGGTGCAATCATCATTTTTCTTTAACTTTACACTTTAGGGTTGAGCCATGGGTTCTGGGTTATGTTTCAACCCGAGTGACTTATGTCTGAAGCCACAAAAGATGTAGTTTTTGAGGTTAAAAAGAATAATCTATAATCTGGATTACTGAACAAGTAATATTGTGATTAAAACTGATTATTTTACACTTGTGCTCAACAAATTAAGACAACAAAACACAAGCTTGGAGTTAAAGTTGCTCACTTATCCATACCTAACCAGTTTGTCCTTGCTTGTATCAATTTCATATATGTAAACAAGATGTTTAAAAACTCAGTACCTTAACTGAGGTGTTTACATTTTGATGAACTATAAGGACAAATTTCTCAAATGATTGATGACTGATAGACCGGTTGTCCAATCAATTATCATTTTATAGTTGTGACCCCTTATCGAACAAAAACAACTCCAACCGCAAACTGGCATCAGCATTTATTCATATGACAATATTTTTTTACACTGGACTATGAATACAGAAAATAACTCTAAGTCGTCGGCTGCCAAAGAAGGATACAAAATGTCCAGCTTGGCAGGTAAAAGGTTAGATTACGCCTGGTTAGAACGAAGATTTCACCACTTCATACCTGGACAGGTTGGGCAAAAGACATCAAAACTGCATAAGAGCTAAAGGGATAGCAACCAGCAATGTTCAATAATAATCCTAATAAGTCTCTGTGCATATTGATTTTATGTGCAATTATTTGGACAAAGTGGGAATGTTAAATATTATGTTTGAGTTAATTACTTAAGATGCTGAAAGGCTAATGTTCTCTTCATTAAACAAACATGACTTCATTAAAATTATTCTAAAGTATAATTTGCCATGTCAACATTTCTTACATCCTTCTGTGGAATCTGATGAGGTTGGTGTGTAGTTTAAAGTGGCTGCCTCTAGTTTTTACTCTTATGCAACAAACTGGTTCAACTTTTCACCCGATATTTGGTCCAAGCCGCACAACTTCTTTCCAAATACCCATCAGTTTTTGTTTATATATGTAGGACTGTGCAAAATTTCAAAACACCAACATTTTTCTCAAAGCCAATATTTTCATAAGCTCTTGATGAATAGCTTATGAAAGCTATTCATAAATTTTATTTCACCAGTTTAGTTTTGGACTATTCCACTCATTTTTTCTGTCCTGTAATATTCGCTGACCATGACAACATAAAGTTTGTGCTTAGAAAAATTGGGGGAAAAAAATATATAGGCCTACACAAATCTTATCTAAAGCAGTCTCTTTGCTAAACTGTGTTTACAATTCTGAGTTGAAGAACCAAAATGTAAAAGAAAGAAGGAAAGGAAGAAAGAGAGAAAGAAAGAAAGACAAGGACAAACAAAACAAATGACTGTCTGAAATAGTCAAGTCCTGGACTGAAAATGGGTTGAAAATAACCGCAGTGAACAGTAAACCAATTGTAAAGAAATGAGTGACAGATTCCTATTTATCTGACTGTCAGTGAACATAAAATCCTGCCCCGTCTTCTTGCAGCAACCTGAGCGACACCCTCAACGTAACGAGCAAATACGGAGCCGGGGGATTTTTTCCTTATGGATTCAGCGGCACATTGGCAGGAGCTGCAACGTGTTTCTATGCCTTCGTCGGATTTGACTGCATCGCTACGACAGGTAAAAGGAGCGTTCTTCCTCTTGTGACCATCGGAACATTTGATAACTAAGATACGAGTAAAATACAGACAATTATATTTTTAACGCAATCAAACAAAGCATTGCGTCTACCATCAGCACCGCTGATGCCTTTTGAATGATATCGTAAAGTTGTACAAACAAGGCAATAGAGTGTATGAGCAAAACAATTTTCTGAAACTGTGATAAGACACTTTAGTAGGCCTGCATGATCATATAATACACTTACAACCTATTAAGCTATAAAGCCCTTTAAATTGCACTGCAGTTACCTGCTTGGTTTACATAAGATAACTCCCAGAAAGGATCTGCAGCAGTGGAGCTTCTGTATCTATCAAAGATGGCTTCTCTTCCTTTTTCAGGCGAGGAGGTGAAAAACCCTCAGAAATCTGTCCCTGTGGGCATTGTGGCTTCTCTCCTGATATGCTTCCTGGCCTACTTCGCGGTGTCTGCCGCCCTCACCTTGATGATGCCCTACTACATGCTCAACGAGAAGAGCCCTCTGCCAGTGGCCTTCGAATACGTTGGCTGGGGACCCGCCAAATACGCCGTGGCCGTGGGATCGTTGTGTGCCCTGTCCACCAGGTCTGGATCCTCACAGAACAACACAGTTGCGGCCATGTCTTGTCAGTAACAAAGCTAGAGAGCGTCCATGGATTACGCAGTAAAAATAAATAAATAAATAAATAAAATAAATTCTGATTGGTCGAGCCTTGCCCTGCAAAATTTTTAATTAAACGTGACCATTGGACGTGCATTTGACTTGCCTCAGTAGCCCCGACTCTGCCCTGAAGACGACATCCAGCTGAGTTCAGCACGTTGAAAAAAACTTGTGGAGTTTTCACTTTTTTGTGTGATTAGTGACCAAGTTAACTACAGTACGCAAGAGGAGCTGATAATAATGTGTTTCTCACCCGTTTTATACAGTCAAACACTGAAGGACAAAATCCAAAACAGTTAAGTACTGTGTCTGCTCCAATGTGATAAAAAATAAAAAATAAAAACAATAATCATCATCATCAGTGCAAATAATTCCTGCAAGTTTCAGGATGTTTCATGTGTACATGAACTTGGAGTTGGTGTCAGACTTAGGGGGACATTCTCAGACCGAGTAATTTGATTTCCAAAGTCAGGCTGAATGCATTATTTGTTTTAAGTAATCCAGGCATAAATATTATGTATTCATGAGGCTGAAAAAAAAAAATCAAGACCCAGGTTTGTGTTAACAATCAATTCAAACGTTATGTTTTTTGGGACAACCATTGACAGAAGATGCTAAAAGAAACGGTAGAAACGTAGTGAGAGCTGAAACAATGGCCACCGCTCATATCAGTTTGCTCAGGGGTCAAGAAAAAGAATGCTAACCGAGTAACTTTTATTTAAATCAAGTGAAATCAATGGGAACAATCAGTCTTTCTGTCTGTGAGGCCCAAACAGCCATAATGGTGGTGTTGTTTGACCCCGATTGCACTTTTTGTTTCTGCAGCCTGCTGGGCTCCATGTTCCCGATGCCTCGGGTTCTCTTCGCCATGGCAAGAGATGGCCTGCTTTTCCAGCCTTTGACCAAAGTCACTGCCAAGGGCAGTCCCGCCATAGCCACCATATCGTCCGGAGTCGTGGCAGGTACAGAAATTCAGGCTGTTTGAAAAAGTCTGCACTGGCGTTTGTGACTTGAACTCAAAGTGACATTATGCATCTCTTTACTTTTGTATATTCAGCCATTATGAGTCTCCTGTTTGACCTGAAAGCCCTGGTGGAAATTATGTCCATTGGTACTCTGTTCGCCTACACACTTGTGGCAATATGCATCCTGATACTGAGGTACGTTTTTCTTTTTCTGAATGTTTGATCCCAAATCGAGTTGATTCTGCTTCTGCTTTAAAAACAATCATAAAAGGCTGCAAGTAGTCATAAATTATATGTATATTTGGAAAAAAGGTGGTGTGACACCATGTGTGTTAATTAGTTTGAGCATCTTATATTGGTGACTAGCATGTTTAGCAAAGTATTATTAAAAAAAAAAATACTGTTTCTGTGTGCTTTCTTTAGAAAACGCAGATCATAACCCTAATTCAGAGATTTCGAAAAGTTAGTTTAGATTAAGTAAATAATCTGATTCATATCTCTCTGCTTCTTAAACTCATAAATCTCAGTTCCTAAAATCAAAATGAAAACTCACAGCACACGTGTCCTTTTTGTGTGCGTAAGGTACCAGGCTGCCCCATCTGAAGACACAGACCTGCAGGTCAAAGAACCAAACCCCAAGTTTCGGTTCCTGAAGCCTCCCTCGTCTCCCAACTCTGTCACAGCACGAAGAGTCACAATCCTAACTATAAGTTCTGGTAAGAGATGCCAGAGTTTTTCGTAGAAACAACGTTCCCTCTCCGGTTCATGGTGTGATCGTTGCTCTTTATTTGTCTCTGTGCAGTTGTGTGTGTGGTTGCACTGTGCGTCATCTTGACCCAGGCCATAGACGCTCTGGTAAACGTAGAGGCATGGAGCGTGGTGCTCGTTTGCATCTTCTCCTTCCTCCTGCTTCTCATCTCAATCTTCATCTGGATCCAACCACAGAATCCCACAAAGGCAACTTTCATGGTAAGGTCAGCTAAAGTCACGTTGGTATGGTATGGTTGCAGCTGCTTTCATCACACTGGCTCAAAGTTAGTGACCGGAAGGTTTTCTTTTATTCGTATAGCTCAGTCTGTTGGACCTACTTTATTAATGAAGAGTGAACCAGAATTTCTCCACATCAGTCAAAAAGACTCATGGCCAGCTCCAGCAAACATTTTGATTTTCTGTTTCAAACAAAAGAAATGAGAAAAAATGTGAACTCTCTTATAATCTTATAAAGGCCCGTGCCTAAATTAAAGTTCACTTTGTAAAGAACATCATTTAAAAAAAAAAAAACTCTTCTAACTCAGATTTTCATCTTAGGTGCCATTTCTGCCAGCTCTACCTGTAGTGAGCACGCTCATCAACGTCTACCTGATGGTGCAGTTGGGTTCAGCCACATGGCTGCGATACGCTATCTGGATGTTAGTGGGTAAGATTTAGTCACTTTTCTGTAGCTTCAGCCATTTAGAAACTTTATCATCATCATCATCATTTATGATCTTGAACAACACTCCCCCTCCTCCTCCCCTCTGCAGGGTTAGTTATCTATTTTGCCTACGGAGTCCGCAACAGTGTTCAGAGGAAGCGACTCAGGACCCACCGGACCAACGTCGAAACAGTCAGCAGCAAAACAGACACGCACGTAATTAGAGAGGAGAAGTTTTGAGCCCCAAAGGGGGGTGAAGACAAGATACACTGAGATGTTACATAGAGTAACTACGTAAGAACTGTGTAACTAAATCCTTCTACATGCATCAATTAGTATCTACTTTTGTGGGTTTTATTGACCAAAAGTGCCAGTAAGCAGGTTTTGCAGAACATTTGGAAAGAAATGTCCAAATAGGGGGAGCATTTTTTTGTTGTTTTTTTTTCCTTATCTGAAACTGAGTTGCATCTTCCCAGTCAGATATGTGTGCTGTGTAACACATCACTGCATAATCAGCATGTTTAGGTTCAGAGAAATTTATTGTACTTCCTAAAAGGCCTCGGAGGGAAACAAATATTTTAAAGTAAAATAAATTATTTAACATATTTGTGTATTTGTGTTGCCTCTCACGCTGTGGTTATGAAATGAAAAAGGCTAATAAACAAAATGATCCTTATTTTGTAACATTTTGATACATTAAATTGAAGAATATTGTATTTACCTCTAAAATTGTTGCCATTTTGTTATAGTGATAATGATTTTAAGCTGCATGTTTTGTCTTTCTTTTTGTTTTTTTGTTTTTTGCTTTTTGGCACAAGCAGATGTGCTTTAAACAAAATGCTATTTTGTGTAACATCATATTTGGTTTGTCCTTTTTTGTTGTTTAAACATAACTCTGCTAAAAATTGCATTGTGTTTTTACATGTAAATATGAACATTTTGCATATTTGCTCAAATTCTGTAAATGTATTCCTTAATTTAAAAAGGAAAAGGAAAAAAAAAACACAACAACATTTAATTGTAACCTGGAGTTACTTTTGTCGCAGGTTGACTGAAAGTGAAATAAAATGATAAATATCACCACCATTTTCTCAGAAATGTCTGTTTAGCCACAGGAAACGGAGAACAAACAAAGACCATATGTGATTTAAAAATCATTTTAAAATGTTGCTAATATGGAGTAAGATGTTTTTTTAAACCATTGTCTGGAAGGCTGTTTGTGGGGGTAAAGAAGGGCAATCAGATGACTCAAGTGTGGATTTGATGAGGTTGAATTTACTAAAAAATGACAAAAAATCGTTTGATATTAACAAATTACTGGCTATTGAAGTTCAAACTAACGTTTTAATCTTTCGATTTAACTCTGACGTTAAGCTGTGTTGAACTCAAAAGCGATTTTTAAACAAAATGCATCGGGGTGACATCATAAAACTCTGTTTGAAACCACATTTTATGTAATATCAATAATAAATACAGTATATAATTAATCCAATGATTAAACGTCCAAAAAACATATTTTTGAATAACATATAATGTTATAAGAAGTGAACTTTACAATTAATCTGTGTAAATCCCAAACCTCATCATAACTCCCATATTACAAAAAAAAAAATGAAAAAAATAAGAAAGCACCAATAATCATATGTTTAAACATTGCAAATTATTTATTATATGTGCATTCCCTGAAACAGGACAGCTGCCATTAAAGAAGTTGATTTGTTTTTCATAGTTCAGGTAACTGTGAAAATGAGTCAGAGGTTTTGAAGCAGCTGAATCGTTGTTTGAACTATCAAGAACCGTAAGTTATACATGGAAAAATACACAAAACATAAACATTATTAGCATATTTTTAAGTGTGATTGCATGACTAATTTAAAAGCCAACCGTAGTTGTATTTCATTTGACCTGAGTTTGTGAATGCAGACCACAGAGTTTGTTGGTCACCAAATGTTTTTGACTCTGCACCCGCAGTCAGTTTTCTGGGCAGCATCTGTGAGGGCCAGGCTTGTGCTGCCATTGCACCATTCCAGTCATGCAGCTAAACAAACAGGCCCTGGGCCCTTATTGGTCCAGGGACTCCAGAGGAATTTGTGGTGCTCCTGATCTGCCCTCAGCTGAAGGAATTTGTGTGATTTTGCGCGTCTGCTCTCGCTTCTTCTGCAAGTCGTCTTCTTGTTTCTGCAGAGCTTTCTCTGTCCTGAACTACCTGAACTACGAGTTTACACACCGCTTTGGACGTCAGCAGATCAGTGATGATTTTGCTGAAGTTATCTGAGTGGAAGTGGAGGCTGGTGCTGAGCGCCCTCCTTGTTTGCGCTGTAGTCTTTGAGTCGGGTAAGTGAATTCATTCCTTCACTTTGCACTTCTGTACATGCGCTTCTGGAAATGCTAAGAATGCAACTTTTCTGTTGGCTTATTTCAAAAGCCGACACATGACTAAACGACAGGTTCATGGCATCAAGCTGTCTCCCCTGTGCTAACTGTTATTTTGCCTGCACGCTGGGTTTTGCACTGGTTAAAAAGATGCCAAAGAAGAGAAAACGACTCGTGGAAGAATGTCGACACCAAAGAAAGCAACAAATAAAAGGCAAAGAGCTGAGATGGTTAAAGAAAAGATCAAACCTGCAGCTGCAGCTCACACCAAGACGTCACTCACACAAGTAGGAAACAGCATCTTACAGGGGGAGTCGTGCATCTCTCTTATGCTGTCGAAATTGTCCTACTTTAAAAATGATTATGTACTTTCTGCATTAAGGTTCTTGGCAGAGGTGTTTTTAAGAAAGTGGGAGAGACCCTGAGCGTGCAGACAGGAAACACACTGAGCCTGAGGTGCAGGGGCAAACCTGTGCAGTGGAGCGTCCCCCCGTACGTGGAGGAGGACGACGGACGGCTTGTGTAAGATGCATGTTCATAAATCTGAAGATGGGAAATGGGGTGTGCACAAATCTGTTTCTTCTTTTCAATCTGCAGGATTGTCCAACAAGAACGCTTTAGCCTCCTGACACTAGTCAACACAACTGTTGCGGACACAGGGGAGTACACCTGTTTTCCCATGTATTGTGAAGACAAAGACTGCAGGAGGGAGTACAGCAAAGCTATCAAAGTCTTCATCTTCTTCCCAGGTACAATAGAAAAACATTTTCTTCTGTACATTTTTTGCCCTGGCAAATATGTGTAAAATCCCAAATTGATTGCAATACCATAATCCCACAAGGAAATGTCATTGCAACATTCAACCTTTATTCAGCGGAAATACATGAAATACAAGACAGGATGATATACATGTAAGGAAAATTTGTGTTGATCTTCATATGTGGAGGAAATTTCTAAGAAGGAAAGAGCAACTTGGCAAAAACTGCCAAACGGTGAGAGTAAAATAGTAAAATATACAGCTGGAACTGTGGCAGCAAGGTAAAAAGATGTTCAGGATAATGACTGATTAAGGTTCTTCAGCCGAACCTAACTAATCCTATAATCGACCGCTCTCGTCTTTCAAACCAGACCCACGAGAGTTATTCATCCCGTCATCCAGCCACTACGAAATGATCCAGCTGAGAAGCAACTGGCCAACAGTCCTCCCCTGCCAAGCGACATCGCCTGAGGCGAAAGTCACCCTGCACCGCGAGTTCCCACCGGGGGAAGTGTCGGTGGACGGGACGGAGATCTCCTTCAGCAACAGGAAGGGCTTCACCATCCATCGGCCGCGGCCGCATCACGCCGGAGTGTTGCACTGTGTGGCTGCTCTGGGAAACCTGAGGCAGAGCTCCACCAAGTATATCCTCATCTATGTCAACTGTGAGTTTGTCAACGAGTTTTCGTCCACAAGTTGTTTCACTGAATATTTGATGGCTCCATGAAACTGATCGGATAAAACTCGGCTCATTTTCTGTCTGTTCAACAACTTTAAACAAAGCGAACTGGCATAGAGGTCAGGATTTCTACAATGGTATACCATTCAGGATGTCTAATTTTACTCCTATGAATCGACGTGTACCTCTTCTAGATCAAACACCATAGCCTGAAACTGTCAGAAAATACATTCAGTAGTCGGAACTAGTATAGATTTTGTTTCCCCATTAGCATTAAGGAATTATCGACTTAAAACAAGCTCCTATAACTTACTGAAAAGCTTGCTTCGTCTTGTTTTGCGTGTACTAATGGTACATTTTCTATCCATACCATTAGACCCCATGGCTCCTCCTGCTCCAGTGATCCAGGCATCATCAGGCTCGGTGGCTGTGGGGGACAACCTGCGTGTGGCCTGCAGTGCAGTGGGAGAACGGGACGTTTTCATAGAGTTCAGCTGGGAATACCCAGGACAGCAGGTCAGCAGATCTGCTCTGAAGACTTTACACTGACTTACGCTATGCATAGCAGTGTGGCAGAAAAATAATTGGCTAGATATGAAAATGTTTCTTTTTTTTTTTTTTACAAATGACGCCACTTTTTGTGGTAACCGTTTATTTTTTTTAGATTACTATGCAAATTAATCAAAGCCACAATTTACTGTGAATGGCTGCATGAGCTTAAAAGCTTACTTTAAAAAAAATCTACGACTTTCATGGTACTTTTGCAGGTCATTGACTTGAATTCATTGGTAGAAAATATTATAAGAAAAAGTGAAACGATGAAAGAGTCCATCAGATATCATGAGTTTAATTAATGGTTGCCAGATATTCTGACTGAAATCATTGTTTTCAAAGGTTTACTTCCAAAGAAGCATATGCCATCGCTTTAATTTTACCAAATAAAATCACGCATAAGTAAATTTGTAATAGTAAGATTACACCCGAAAGAACAAAACAGTTTGTGTATTCAATAGCAGAGAAGCTTTTATAACATCCGAGGGTCATAATATCCTGAGGGGCATGCTGCAGTTTTATGTTGCCACCACCAGTGCAGAGCTTGCATTGACAGCAGGCTGGTGTGAGTCCATCTGCATGCACAATGAGACCAAGACATTGGCACTGTGAAAGAAAAGGAGGCAAAGAAAGCATTTCTGTCAAAACAGGCCAAGGGCAGATGGAAATAGAAGAATAGTGCACTGATTCCTCTGTCATGGTGAAGCATAGCCATGCAAACTCCTGTGTAAAGTTATTTTCTGTCTAAGGGATTCTAAGTATTTACCATTTTCTACAAGAACACCGTCATAAATATAAGGTCGTGAAACGTGTGATTGAAATATCTGAGATCAGCACTTTAGGAAACAAAGTGTGATCAATATCAATCACCAGTGGGACAAGAGTGTCCACAGCAAACAACATTTATGATTGATCACATGGATCTAATGTCTCTTTGTTCTGTATCTTTGCATTTTACTTTGTGTTACACAATAAAAACATGTAAGTTGAGACACAGAAAAGAGTTTTGGGTATGAGCTTGATCACCCCAACAACTCATCTATTGGTGTATTTGATTTGAACCCTTTCATGCATGAATTATGATCCTTTGTGTCAGGATTTTGTTTCTTCAAATTTTTGTTTGTTTTCTTAAGGCATAAAAAAGGTAGGAACATTTTTTTTATTATTTCTTTTTTTTAGGTGAACAATTGTAATTTTCTCCAAATACAAAGTTGTTATTTGAAAAATACATCAGTAGTATTGTTCTTTAGGGGTTCTCTGATAACCCCAAAATTTATTATTTATTATTTTTTTCATATTTGGTAACACTTCAACCACACACATCTGATTTTTTTTATTTTTTTTTTTACCTGCAAGAGTCGTCTACAGTAGAAGAAGGGACCGGGTCGGTCGGCATGCTTTGTTTTGTCTGTCGGCCATTTTGGATTTAACAAAAATAATTTATTGCATTTGCAGCTGATGGCCAGTAGTTGATGGTGTATTTTATGATACATTAGTGTCCACTTCAGTGGTCTGTCTGCATTTATAACATAAAAATCCACAAGAAGCACAAGAAAATGGCTTTTAGACAGCTATTCACTGTAGTGACCACTATGCATGACAGGGTTAATTACACTATGATTTGACTCTTTAAACATATGTAACTCAGTTTGGATCTTTGTTCACAGTTGTTGCTGAATGGAGGTTTTTTTTTTTTTTTTTTTTCCCCTGGTTGCAGATCGGGAGGCCTCTGTACACAGAGGGGACGGCGATCCCGGTCCATGGAGAAGCATCTCGGCAGCAGTTTCAGTCCGTTCTCCAGGTGGATGAGGTGAGGGACGTGGACCAGGGGACGTACACCTGCACTGCCCAGAACCTTCAGGGAGCCAACTCGGTGTCCACCACTGTCAAAGTTGTCCCCAAAATTAAGAAACTGCCGGTGTGACGCCCAGCTGGACGGCATCGCTGAGGGGGACAGGGACTGTAGATCACAGCCGTGTCTTACCCTGTCAGAGAATGAGAAGTGAATTAGTCAAAAACGGAGAAACATAAACCACAACGTTCTCCTTTGGAGGCTGTGAGTGATGAAATCATGGTGCAACATAGATGCTAGATGAGTATCAATTGCTCGAGGTCGGATAATAAATAATAAAACATTTTACACCAAAAGAAATGTGTGTTCATTTCCTAACTTCTTTCTTATGTATAAAAATGAACAAAAAGTTGAACAGAAAAAAGCCGAACAGAATCCTTGTCCTCTTGCAACTCATGTCAGGATATGTGTGCAAAGCAAGTTATTTTTTTTTAATGTTTTACAGCTTTTTACAACTTACTCTGTTCTATCCAAGTTCTCCATACCCACATTACTTTGTTGTGCATGGAATATTAATATTTGTTGCATTGTGTACGTTAAGACGCTACTTTATACAGAAACGCAAATCCAAATTAAGATATAAGATAATAATACTTTATCAACATATTAATAACAAATATACACTTCTAAACTTCAGTTTTTAAAATGTTCTTTTTTGCTTTTGGAACATGTCTAGTCTCAATTAATCTAAAGAAATTATTTAAATTTAAAATTTACACCCATAACAGGATTGTTATTAATGTTCTTTGTATTATTTGTAAAGAGAAAATAAGATGAAACCAAGCTTCACTCCGAAAAAATATTTGACTGGAACCACAAAATGTAATTTTAAAGCTGACTTTGTTGTAGAAATGATGGCTGACCTAGTAAACTTCAACTGCTTAGGATCATCTGCTGGATTTGGGGCCCAAAGAGGATTTATACAAGACAATTTGGCAAATGTAGTTTAAAAGTTGTGTTCACAAAGTCATGTTTTATAGATAACATATTAATTTCTGCTACCTGAACAAGGAAAATTTTGTTTGTTTGTTTTTTCACACTAACTGTAAGTAAATCAGCGAGTAATAATTCAGTTTTCACTCCTGGTCAGCAGACATATTTTAATCATATTTTAAAAGAATCACGGAATAATATTCATTTAATCTATTACAATTTAACAATTGATTTTGCGTTAATTAAATAAGTTCTACATTAAAATTATTATTAAGACGGTAAAAATGTAGCCTGCAAAGGCTACATCGACGCACTTTCTCACCCGGCCGATAGGCCGATAGATGTCGCTGTATTTCCTCTTATCTCTAAGCGTGTCTGTGCAATCAACTTGGGGCAGACCACTCTCTCTCTCTCTCTCTCCCTCTCTCTCTCTCCTCTTTTCAAACGTCCGGGAGGGAAAAGAAACAGTCCCAATCTGCTGCTCTCTCTCTCGGCTCACAGACTGATCTTCGTCCGCTGTTCGGCCCTGAGGTCCGGCGGGGTTTGGGGAAAAATATCCTGCGCAGCCCCGTCGACTGCGTTTGTTTTGATTTTATTTAATCCACGCAGCGAGCACAGAAAACTGCAGCAGAGTGCCAGTGTTGATCAATGAGATGTCCTGCACAGAGAGCATGGTGAGTTTTTCTGATCTCCGTCCACATGCAGCCCCTGCAGCAGAGGGGGTGTTAGTGCTTGGTGTGTGGGGGTCTGGCTAACTTTATGCAGACCGGAGCGCAGGACTTTAACCAGTTTCACAGTGATGCTGTCAGGAGGGCAGGTTGTTTTAGGATGAAGCAAGTGTGGCAAGCATGTTTATCTTTGAAAGATATGAAACATTTAGGTTTGGCTTTCAGCTCTGCAGCTCTGGTGGCCCTCCTACTCTCCCCATGAAAGGAGTTTGGCTGTAAATGTTTGGGCTGAAACTTACACTCCTTCAAATGCACAGGAGATATTTGGGGACAAAAGCTGCTTCTTTAGGATTTGTGCAAGGGAAGAGGGTGGCGAGGGTCCAAGGGACTGCCAAGCTGTTGTCCTGGAGACCAGAGGCCACAGGTGACCTCTGACCTGAGGACTCATGGAGCGTTGCAAGAAGACTCCTTTGAGCTCGGTGGATAAGGGCGTCTGCTGACGTAAGTGTCGGAGCGGACCTGACAATGGAGAGACAATGGGCCTGCAACCACTTGCTGGAGTCGGTGCTGCAGCCATTCCCCTAATTTAGGAATGGAGAAGCTCGGAGGTGCTGATTGTCAGATGATACTCCTGACTCCGAGCTGTGAGTGAGTGCTTATTACTGCACTGCAATCACATAGACAGCTTAAATATTGCTTTGAGTTTAAGTCACGCCACAGAAATGCACTTTTCCATCACATCCACCTCACATCACGCGTGGATTTGAGGTGAGATTGGAGCGGCTCGATTTCTTGGGCAAAGGTTTTACGTTACTAACCGTCTACATGTTTTTTTTTTTTTTTTACCAAGCAAGTCAAATTGAGTTTGGCTTTAAAGATATTCTGTTTTTATAGAGATACTTGGAGCTTCTTTGAATTTGGGGAATTTTGACGTCTAACCGCCCCTGATGTTTATCTTGGGCACTTTTCATCGCAGCATCTCTCTCTACATATAACACCTCTTCTCCTAACACCTCTAACTATTTAGCATGTTGAACCCACACTTGCTTGTTTAAATAGACTTTGCACTTAAAATGTGAGCCAGTTCTTATATTTGACAGTGCCAAGCAAATGCTTTCATACCACTTAAAATTGTTATTTTTTTCATATTTGGTAACGCTTCAACCACAAACATCAGTGTAGCTCAAACTCGGTCAGGCTGGATGGAGATCAGCAAATTTACTGTCTTGTCATAGATTCTCAGTTGGTTGTGTGTTTGACTTTTTCCATCTTGCTATACGCTCTTGACAACCCTCCCTGTCTCTTGCCACGGCATGATGCTGCCGCCACCGGTTTCCCACTGTGTGACGTGCTTTTTGCATGTAGGGCAAAAACGTTCAATTTGGAGGCAGTCTAACCAGAGTGCGCTCTTAAACATGTTTGTTGTGTTCCCAATATGAACATACGACACTTGGCAAACTTAAGACTCCGTATAATAAGGATACATTTTATCTGTAAGCGTCTTTCAAGACTCTTAAGGCTGTTTTACATTGTGAACAAAGGTAAAAAATAAAAATAAAAAAATGGCGTATGATTTTCTGCTTGCCATTTTTCAATAAAGCCAAGATTTGTGAAGTGCTAATATAATAACAATAAACAAAAAAGTTGTTGTTGCTTCCTGACCATCTTAGCACTTCTTTACCTTCTGGATCAGCGGTCTCAAACTGCACTCCTCCATGGCCAGAGTTTTGCAACGTGCAGCTCTGTCCCTCGTCCTACACACTTTATTTGAAGGGCTAAATTGCCTCAGTAGCCTGCAGTCAAGCTTTACAGAGCTCTGCTAATGAGCTAATATTAGAGCCAGGTGTGCTGAAGCAGAGCAATGTCTTGTACTGCATCTATTTGTACTTTTATGAAAGTCATTTCCCCTAACTCTGAGGACAGACAGACGGATTTCATTTGGTGAAATCAGAGTAGGGCAGGCACTCTGCACATTTCAGGTTGTTATTAGTAAAAAATGTAAAGTCGTGTATCATTTTCCTCCCACTCAACTTTGTTTTATGACTTTTTTGTTGGTTTATCAGATTAAAACCAAAATAAATCACGCAGAAGTTTATGGTTGTAATGTGACAAGCTGTGAAGCAGTTTAAGGCAATACTTTTCCAAGCCAAAGGATAAGATTGAACGAGGTTATTTACTTTGAAGCCCATTTGAAACAAAGTGTCAGCCTGATTAATATCAAGTATAAATCAGTAATGTGCACCAATGCCATAAATCTGCTTGTGTCTCATTTTGGGGGCCAAAATTCAGCTGTGTTGGCCCTTTATTTACTGAGACCTGTTTTATCCTGAATGATTGGTTTGGTGGAAGTTTAATTGTGACTTTACTAGACAGAGACTCCGTCCACTTCCAAAGATTACTTTTGAAATAAACCATCTGGTTTGTCAAAGTAGTTCTGTAGAACAGGGCGCTGCCGTACAATACGACGTTATTTGTTGAAGAAAGTACAGTGAGAGATAAGAAGTCCAAAGTTGTTCTGGAATGTTAAGTTTGTAATTTTTAAGCTTGAAACTCTGGATGCAGTCCAGAACACACTGAAGCAGGAGAAATAGACTGACATTTGACAGAGAAACAAAACAGACCCAACAGAAAGATAGCAAAATCCTTCGAAGAGATGAGAGCAATTATCGGTATGCTTGTGATAAGAACAAACATTAAGTTGAGTTTAGCTGTACCAAAACATTTGGAGGGATATGAAACATCCTGTCAGCATCCCAAGCAATCTTGTCTCAATATTTTTATTTTTTTTTTTATATAAAACTACAAAACTAAAATCCACCGCTACAGTTAAAGAACAGCAATATATATTTACTTTGAAACAAGATTATTTGAATAAGTGGAAATTCAAAAGAGATCATCTATCAAACATGGTGGTGGTAGAATAGTGGTTTTGTCCTGTCTGGCTCTCCGTATAAATGTAGCGTTGGTGTTTTTGATTGATTCTGGATTGAGAAGGAAAAAAAAAATGTCGTTCCAGTTGTAAATTTGAAGGGAACATACTTTTCATTTACTGAAGACGACAGTCCTGACGTCAACACGCCCCACAGACAAGCAGCAACTGATGGGATCATCAGCAAAACAGGAGAAAATAAAATAGTCAAATTTAACAGAGGATAGCAGCCAAAAGTCTGTAGACTTCAAAATATATTCGAATTGGGAAAATAGTCTTCTCTTAGAGCTTGTAAAAATGGTTGAGCTGTTTTGGGTTAGGCTTATCGTATTGATATATTATCAGTTCAAAAGAAATGTCTATACCGTCCAACTTGTAGAGAAAGTTAACCCCTTTTCTTTCAGACACCTTCAATAAACAACGAAACTTGACATTGTTACCAACAACTATGTGCTTCTTAATTGCAACCCTACAGGATCTGTAACTCGAATATGTGCTAGGTAATGTTATTAGACTCCGTGGTGTTGGCCCAGTTTGTCTCTGTCTCTCAGTGGAGTTGGCCTGACAGCTGATGTGATATCTTCAATCAGCTGTTTGAGCCCTCTGGGGGCTTGACTCTCTCCTCGGTGAGTGCATGTGGATGTGCGTTCTTAAAGCCTTGGCAGCTGATGAAACACTAATTCTGCTGACCGTCAGCTGTCTGCTGACCATTTGCTTAGTGTTGCCCATCCCAAAGATTAAAGCACATAAATTCTGGTCGGTCAAG